TCTACACCTCGACTGACAGCTGTGAAACTGCATATCATCATTATCTGAAACACAAACAAAAACAGAGAGAGGTAATAACTTGAACTGTAAAAGAAAAACACCAGGAAAGTTAGTATTTAAAGTATTCCTTCGTCCTTCTATCCAAGTCTTTCTGCCTAGGAAGAATCACTATATGACAGTTAACTGAACTGTGACCAATACACTTGAGGAATAAATGATCAATATGCTTGTTCACGTTTCCTCATGTGTGAGAGTTGATTTAGTGATTTTTTTTAAATGTTTGATAACCATGATGCTTCATTTCTTATCATCATCCATCATTATTTTAGTTTTTACCTGTATCAACTCAATACTATTATAAAATATCCACTAAGTTGGTGGGAGTAGTAGTTTGCAAGTGCTTCTTAACCAGCAGAAGATATCACTCAGTGCATGTGTCCAGTTTGTGGTGAAGTTTGCAGAACTTATTACATATCATTGAGTGTCTATTTAAATGGCTGACTGAACAATAAGTGTTGATAAATACCGTAAAAGGTTGAATAACTTGATTAGATTTTTCAAACACATGCTCATCCAGTGTCCGTTTATGGGGAGGTTGGAAAATACGGTCACAAATGATAAAATAATACAGAAATGAAAAGATCAATCAATTGTTTTGAAATGATTGATGGGGCCATTCAAAGGTTGCCTCATGTAACAAGTATCCATCATTTCTTACACTTTCCCCTCAGCCGTATGTTATCATGGTCGGACAATGAGGTGTATGAAACATAATTTTATGAATTATACATTTCCTGTTGTTCATCAACAAGCTCCTTTACTCACTTCCTCCCTCTGTTGGCCAATCAGCAGAGGAGCTGAAGCAGCAGGTGACCTCTGGGAAACCTGGCTGTAATGAGAGGGGTTGTCCACTTCCTGTAGTCTCACCTCTGGAGGTTGAAGCGTTCACAGCAGGAGCTCTCAAACCAATCTCTAATGCACCTTGAGTTAAACAAATAAAGATTGAATACCTCCCTCGGTGCAGGTGCCATCCGTCTCACTGTGGAGCAGATATTGGTTCTGTAAGAGCCTCTTAAGCACATTAATATCTTTTAAATAAGGTGTATGTTGGCTTGATACATTGACATGTCTTTGAATATCATTTAAATGAATATCTCTATCATCGATCATGAAATAAGAACACCTGCATGGTGATCAAGATCCATTATACGCAGCTATACTAAATAAACTAACGACTTGAATCACAATATTGATGGAAAATGATCTTTTTGATTTATATCGATTCCCTACCGTTAAGAAAACATAGTCCAGTTCAGCCATCATGGATCCAAAGAGTCATACTCTCCCCAAATGTAAAAATGATTATTCAGAAATAATGGTGTTTCCTGATGGAGGAAACTAATGTTCGTTGTCCACAGCTGACGTTAAACTGACCGGACTTCTTTCTGTGGATTGATATGACTGCACTTAGTCCTCCTTAGCAACAGTCCGTTCTCCTTAGAAACGGTCTGTTAGCGAAAAATAACAACTTCTGGAATGTCCAAATCGACCAATTAGAATTGAGTATTCAACTAAGCTGTTTAATGAATATGGATATTATTGGGCTGAGGTTATGTTTCTATTAGTTGAGGTGATATTGCTGTATCGCTGTTTGACCATCAATAAGTTGGGGGTGGACTGGTTGAGATGCAATTTTTATGGAAGATAACCTGCCGTGATGCTGTAATTTACTTTAAGTGAATATTTGTTCAAGTTTTACCTGCCTCACCTGGTGAGTATATTGGGTTTTCACAAAAAGCTAAGATATCCTGCAGACTAAGGGTTTGGGTTCAGAGGGAGCCGAAGTTTGGAGGAAAAGTCTTCTTCTGTCCGTTCTGAAGAACCTGCAGTCTGCCCGCTCAGATGAAGAGAAACCTTTAGAGCCCCGTGTCAGTTACTGTTCAGGGTTTTAGGTTGATGCTTAGTTTTTGGGCTCCTTTTCAACTTGTTTCCACTGCTGAGTTCATTTAGTTTGGCCGCTGCGGCAAAAAAAACCGTAAAGGGAAAAATACACATTTATCTTAACTTTAAGTATCCAAAATCAGACAGATGACTCGTCTTTCAGTGTGTGTGTGTGTGTGTGTGTGTGTGTGTGTGTGTGTGTGTGTGTGTGTGTGTGTGTGTGTGTGTGTGTGTGTGTGTGTGTCTGGAGCCACACTGCACACAGCTGGTGGATTCTCTTCGCAGCAGGGTGTATTCTTAGCTCCCTAAAACCCAATAAGTGAAATGAGATTAGACGACACACTCACACACACACACACACACACGCACACACACACACACACACACACACACACACACACACACACACACACACACACACACACACAACCCAAAACCTCAACCACCACCACCACCACCACCAACCACACGCACACACACGCTGCAGACTGAGCCTGTGTGTGTGAGCGTCTGCTGTGAACTCTCCTGTCTGTACGAACGTTTGCTTTTGGTTTCCACATCTGCAGACTGTGAGGGAAAACGCTCTGATGTCACACGTTAACGAACATGTTCATCATCGTTAACCACTTAACATCCAGCTTTCCTTTAATATTCCCCCCCTTCAAAGTTGGATAATTCCTCTTGTACGGCTGCAACACATTTAAATGTCTTTGTTTTAGATTAATTTTCCTTGAATTCATCCCAAACTGATCTCCACCGCGTTCTGAAAAATGATACACTGGCTTTTTATAAATGAAATTGAAGAAACAAATTGCATCAGTTTAAGTAGTTCCAACGTTGAGTTGATCCTACGAGGTTTTTATGGTCTGATTAAACAAATGTAGTACAATCATAATATGCTTTGACATTTGAAAGCTTGACTCATTTGAACCAATTTAATATCATTGCAAAAATGTTGCCGTGGAATTGAAAGCAGTTTTTGTGGATTTAAACAAAGCTTTAGTTCTGTACCGACTGCCATCAGAGGAGTGGGGTTACCGGCATTTAAGACGTCTTTATTTGTTGATTTTCTCTTCATTTATTTAATTAATTCTTTGTTTTTTAATTGTTTATTTAATGAATTTAGTCATTTATTCATTTTTTTTATCAAATCTATAAAAAAAGATATATTAACTGTAAGAGCCTGAATTGATGTCTCATATTTAAATGTATTATATATATGTAGAGACATTTTTACATTTACAATATGTGTGTATTTTTTTTAATTGATAGCTTTGGCAAACAAAAGTTCCTGTGGCTTGAAGAAAGTAGTCTCTGTCTTAAATAACCCTCTAACAAGGCATTTCCCTTTAAATGTCCCTTAATCTACTTTAAAGGTTCACACATTCATCCTTGTCCTGTTCCAGTATTTCACTAAAACTACTGAGCGACCATCCAAACCCTAATCCGGTGTTTTCCATGGCTGCTACATGTTAAAATAGACATGTTTGTGCATCTTTTTATACACCTATACCCATAATTCAGTCTGACATATTTGGAAACGTTGGGATTCTCGCTGGTGTTAAAAATAAAGTGAGTTTGAAAAAGTAATTTGTCGTGAGACCTGGGCGGCTGATTCCTTTACAATAATGTTTTTATTGCACGGTAAATAAAATATGATATTTCAGTTCCGCATCACATGCCTCCCCTTATTATCCGCCTTCAGCTTTTGCATCAATCAATAGCGTGGAGCTGACATTTGTCATATTATGGGATTCACTGGTTTTAAATGCAGACATTTTGCAGCCAAGCTTTAAATAGCCGGCTGACCGCAGAATATTTGGTTGAGTGTGTGACAGCGAGAGTGAGCTGCTGCCAAGAAGTGTGTGTGCGGTTGAAGGAGTGTGTGAGTGAAAGAGAGCGTGTTTATGTGTGTGTTGGAGAGGAGTTTCGGAGGGGGGGGGGGGCGGCATTAGTGAATGACTGTGCTATTGCATCCTCCCGGGAGACCTCTAGAAACACACACATTGTCCCGGACACACACACACACAGACACACACACACACACACACACACACAGACACAGACACACACACACACACACACACACACACACACACACACACACACGCACGCACACACACACACACACACACACACACACACGCACGCACACACACACACACACACACACACACACACAGGGTTAGGAGGGTTACTTAAAAAATGTGATCCGTTGACATTGTTACCTGTTGAATAATGTAATGTACCTATTCTGAGGATCATAAAAGTAATGTGACCTGATCACTTTCTGTTACTTTTGGATTCCAACAATGTTAAAAGCAATGCAATTCAATACAAGAGAAAATAAATATTAAGAAGATATTTTTTTACTTCTGTGTATCATGTAAAACAACAGAACAATGTGACCTAAGAAAAGAAGAAACGAAGATATTTAGGATCAAAAATGTGTCCTCACCAACTGCATTTAAAAAAATGATATTCAAATAAAAGTAAATTAAAGCAAAAAGAATATGCAGGCAGTTCGTCTCCCTATAAAAACGTATTGTAAGCTGTGCTATCAACGCCTGTCTTTGAAAAATGTCTCAGTAATCTCATTACATCTTTTTTTATGTCACTGTAAGGGATTACATAATCCTTCTTTTGTATCCTGATCACACTGAAAGTCAGATCTGACTTGAATGAAATTAAGTCAACAGATTTCACATAACTCTATTTAGTTAGTTCAAAGTAATAATATTAAGTCTAAATAGGTTCAACTTAATATTATTGCTTTACCAACCTAATATAGTGATGTTACATTTGTTGACATAGTACATTTAATTAAAGTCAACGTTTCAGCTTTGTCAGTGTACGTTATCCTGTTCCATGTAATCCGTTACTCCCCAAACATGTACACACAAACACACACACACACACACACACACACACACACACACACACACACACACACACACACACACACCTTAAACCCGCCTCCTTCATCCCCCGAAAAACTCCCATCTCGCTGCCTACCTCTCTATCCTCGCGCCGCCCCTCCACTAAAGTCGGCTCACATCTCCGCAGCGCCAGACGCACCGAGAGACGGTGGAGTGAGAGGAACCGTGCGTAAAAACGCTCTCAGTGTGCATGTGTCGGTGTTGGAGAGTTGGAGAGTGCGCGCTGACAGACAGGAGCGTCTCCAGATGAGGAGGAAGATCCAGCGGAGATCTTCTTCACTTTTATTGACCTCTAATCCACGCTCTTCTTTTTTCCTGGCTGGCTCAGCGGAAGAAGAAAATAAACATTAAGAAGAAGAAGAAGAAGAAGAAGAAGAAGAAGAAGAAGAAGAAGAAGAAGAAGAAGAAGAAGAAGAAGAAGAAGAAGAAGAAGAAGAAGAAGAAGGGTGCGATTCAGAGTAATTTTTAGTATTTTTAGCATCCCTCTTTTCCCCCTCTCCCCGTCCCTTCTGAGTGCGGAGTGGCGGAGGGAGGGACGGGAGAACCGGGCGGACACTCTGCGCGCCTCCCCGGTGGATGAGCCCCTGGATGCGGGACGATGGATTAACAGCCCTCCCCGGAGCCCGCAGCTGCTTCTTTTTTCCCCGCCGACCCCCTGTCCTTCTCGGGATTATTTCAGCCCTCTGTGACCCCCCCGACCTCCCTCTCGAGATGAGCGAGGAGTGTGTGTTGCGCTGCGTCCTGATGCTCTGCTGCGCGCTGCTGTCCGCCAACGCGAGCAACTGGCTGTAAGTTGGACTCTTTTCTACAAACACTCTGTTTCACTTTCATCTGACCCCCTTTCATTTCCACTCATCTTCTTCTTCTGTCAGCTTTCCCTGCAGCTCAGTGGGCTTCCAGGTTAATTGTTAACCATCACACATTCACTTTCTTTCTTACTCTCCCCCCTCAGACTTAATAACTGACCAACACAGCTGCATCCCCCCTGAAAAGACCCGTTGAAGAAAGTCACCCAAAAGGGAAAAAACACGTGTTAACTTGGAAAATTGCAGGTTTCCATATAGGTGAAATGATGATATCCTTGAGTGTATTACATTTTGCATGTGAAACGTGACTTGTATCTGTATGGCAGGTGTAATAAGGACACGAACATGCACGTGAAGCCTGAAGAAAAAAAACGGTTATACAGTTTTTGTTATGTGAGATTTTATTTCTAAAATCTCCATTGCCTACCTTTTTTGTCATGACAAACCTCAACCCCATCAGAAAACATAGGGAAATGATGGGGTCAAGACGCTGTAGAAATGTATATTTTAGTGCAGCCTTTGAAGGCTTATGTGCCAATTTCAAACTATGAAATTGTTCTCTTTGGAAACACTTCAAGGAACTGTTAGGAGTTCACAGACTATTTAAACCTCTGATATGCATGTTTTCATTTAGTCCTAGATTCTTACTTAGTCATTACCAACAGCCTATTAAAGGTCATATATAAAGACATGTTGTTGCTGTTAAAACAAGACAGGGGTTGGGCTTAAGAAACTACTTAAAAAGGAGTTCCCCAATTACGTATTGTACAAAAATAAAACATCTTCAGTTCCTAATTATTTTTACAGTGATTCAAACAACTTTGATAACAGTAAAGCTTCTATTTAGACTTCTATCATTCAGTTATGCAGGTGGAAAGCAGAGACAGTCAAACTATATTAAGAGCTAAAGGAAAAGTTTAACAAGGTCACTATAAATCCACTGGCGAATATCAACTCATATATAATGAATCTATGTTTTAAATGTATGTGAAATCAGTCAGACTACAGTGTGATTGTAGCTGAAGTTGTGCCACTCTTCCTTGGAAAGGTTTGGTCGCATGTGTTTCTATGTGGGAGGAGGTTAGGTGGGTTTTTTGCATTCCTCCGCATGAGGCTCCGCTCCATTTTCTGCTGCCATTCATTCCTCTTAACTTCAGCACAAGCAACACTCATCATTTAGGGAATAGCACACTGTTCTTTCTCGCATATTAAAGTCTTGTGTACCTGGCATTGACAGTTCTTATTATATCTCACAATTCCCCACATATATAATCCATCGTATAGGGGCTTAAAATGAGGCTGCTGTGCCAAATAATCACTGCCTGTTGACTTTCATATTTGTATTTTATCTCTCCGTATAAATTCCTTTGTAAGATTTATAGTAGCTCTCGATGTGTCTGCAGACGGAGTTACTTCTATTGACAGATGCATCAGAATAAATCAAATGAAATCCTTGCCAAACAGCAGTGTCTACCTTGAACTCTGTCACTGAGTGCAGGTAATTGTGCTGTTTGGGGCTGAAGGCGTGGTGACAGCAGAGCGGACATGTTCAGGCAGGAGTCGAGCTGCCAGTCTGCTGCACTGCGAGGGAAATAATCTGTGCTGAACGACTGTATCTGAGTCCTCAACACATAAACAAACATCTACAAACATCAAGCGTTGGTTTCACCTCAACAGAGCAGATGATACACTCAGGAAAGAAGGATGAGAGAGAGATCAGTGGTCTTCGGATCATAAAAAACATTCAAGGCTTGTATTGTCATGTAGCTACAGTGTAGTTATGACAATGTACATCTTAGGTCACAGGCTCCTCCAACAGTGCAACACCATAAGACAGATAATAGTGCAAGTAAATACAAATAAAATATAATATAATAGAAGTAGTGCAAGAGTAGGATATTGATATATATGTTGCAGACAGATGAATGTTATGGATGTTATAGTTCAGGTGTTTAACAGTCTTATGGCCTGTGGGAGGAAACTGTCCCTGAGTCTGGTGGTTTTAGTCCTGATGCTGCAAACAATCCTGCAGTTTACAGGAGTTTCTTTGCAATAGTCTCAAAAGTCAATATTTTGGAACGAGTTTTAGGTTAGATGCCTGAAATAAGGTCAATCTCAATCTTTAGTTATTTATATAGCACATTTAAAACAACCTCAGTTGACCAAAGTGCTGTACAGAGAACAAATACAATATAGAATAACACAATAGGAGTAAAATAATGAAACAATAATTCATTAATTAGGTCTGTTGTTAACACAATCTGGAGAGATTTTCACGTTTTGTTCTACAACATAAAATGTGTAACAAGTGGCTATATGAGACAAATAAACGTCATCACGCCAAACATTAGCCGCCTTTAGCTTAGCGGTGATGATGGGAAGTCATGCGACCGTGATATAGGTCTTTAGTAACCTTTTTATTCCTGGAAATTGAATTTACGCTTAAAAAATGGTCAATAAAATAAAAATGTATGCAACAGGATGTTAGTTTCCTAAACCTATGTGATAGCGCACCTTGAAAGCATCTTTCATTAGTTCATAGATGCACCTGCTTTGAATGTTATCCGTCGATTAAATGGCCTTTATCGTGTGTTTTCGGGAGCTATAGATTTGACATTACTCTACCTTCTGATAATCTTAGTAGGCGGTTATCATAATTCGGTAGGCTGGATCACAGCAGGAAGGTTCAACATTGTTATGCGACGACCTCTAGTGGCGATAGTTATTATGACGGGAGCAAAAGGGTGACGTAGTTCAGTTTAAAGAACGACAGAGTCGAACAGTTTTACTCAGGGGACTTCTGTTTGTGTCCCGTGTGAAACCAAAACTCAACGTTTACATTTGCAACATTCAGAACTTACATGACATATGTAATGTCCTTATTTCAAGTAGTTAACTTAACCCAATCCCCAGTTTCTTCTTTAACCTAAGCAGGTAGTTTTGTTTCAATTCAAAAGCTAACAACGTGATCGAAACTGCAACTGTAGATAGTTTCATGTTGCCTCGTCTCTTTCATTATAATAATGTAGAGTAATGTATAGTAATGATCACAACAGAAAACTGGCTTTTAAAGGGCTGATAATATCCTGCATGTCTTTTGAACTACACCCCACTTCCAGTTTGAGAATAGGCTTTAAGTTATACATTGTGGACTTTGAACAAAGGTTGAGATGATGACATGACCTATAGTCACTGAAGGCATTATACATTGGTTTATATAGGCTGAATCTTTGTGTGTAAAATTAGAGGAATGCCCCCTAAGGTCTTCCAGATCTCATCGACCAGTTCATCCTTCAACTTCATTGGAATAATGGTAACGTTTCAGATGCAGATCATATTTAGATTTGTTCAACTATTAGATTTTATATTGAAACCAGAAAGACTGAAGTCATAAACCAGTTCTTCCCAGTACTTAAAGATTGTGAATCAACACCAAACATTGTGATTAGAAGACTTCAGTTCATGTTTGCGTAGCATTGAACCCCTCATTGTGCCAAAGAAACTTCAGCCTCCAAAATATGATCTTGTTTTCCCACTCCTCTAAACTGAATATTATATATTATTATATATTATAATTATAATTTTGGAAAGCTGTTCGGATTTCAAAAGGTAATCTGTCACCTTGGGCTAACATGTTTTACAAAAATCATTAATGTATTAATCAGGAAAATACTTAAATTGAACAATCGATAACTGCAGCCCCAGTTCTGTCAGTACGGGAGAAATATAAGGCATGTCCTTAAAGTTTCACAGGTAAAGCATTACTTAAAGGTCCCCTGTTATACTGTTTTTCATCAATATATTATAGGTCTCAGATATATACAAACATGTCTCGGAAGTGTTTGGCTCCAAACACCAAACAATCCAAGCCAACAAATCATTATGACATCATAAAGTGGCCAAAATCTGATCAGCTCATTTTCAGACAGGTTTTTATATAAATGGATCAGGACAAAAAGAGAGAGAATATTTGTTCCTGAAACCTTCAGAGTCTCTTTCCACAGAGGGGACACATGGTGATGTAGAAGAGACATGAAGAAGTGGATTTTGCATAATAGGTGACCTTTAAGACACTTTGATCCACATGAGTTAAATAGTTTCCAGCAGCTCTCAGCTGTTCTTGCGTCACATAAAACCGCAGCCTGTTTATTTACCTCACCTGTAGCTGTGCACCTTCAGCCAGGAAGCCATCGCTTTGCCAAAGCTCTGCGGCTGCTGCTGAGTCATGTTTAGTGTCCCGCTGCCGAATGGGGATTTGAATGCAACTTTTCATTAGTTTGTCCGTCATCACCCTCCTCCTCCTCTTCGTCCTCTTGCCCTGCTCCAACTGGTTCTGCTGCACCTGTACACTGCTCCATGGCTGCTGTGTGTGAGTGTGTGTGTGTGTGTGTGTGTGTGTGTGTGTGTGTGTGTGTGTGTGTGTGTGTGTGTGTGTGTGTGTGTGTGTGTGTGTGTGTGTGTGTGTGTGTGATGTTTTAGCATAATCTGGCATCTTCTCCAACAGTGGCAAACACTCAACACAGTTATTACCACATTGACCGCACTAACGATGCATAATCAAACTCAAACACAGAAGCATGCACAGCTGTGTGTGTGTGCGTGTGTGTGTGTGTGCGTGTGTGTGTGTGCGGGTTTTGAAATCAAATCAAATATCTAGGAATGTACTGGCTAGTGAGACATCCAAATGAAGGAGTCAGGCACATTAAGGGCTCTTAGTCAAGAATAAGAAGAGATTGAGTTGGTTTAACCCTTTCAGTTACTTATTACAGCTAAGGTGAAAATCAAAGTCACATTTATAACGTGGTCATTTTTTGTATCTGGTGTTTGTATAATGAATTTTGATTAAAGTTGCATTCAGTGAGATTTTGTTTTGCGTGTTGAATTAGGTTGACACTCCGTAACGGATAAACACGTCTACCTGTATTGTGATACATAAAAATATGGAGTTCTGGGCAGACTTTGGCCTGTTTACCTGTTGTTTT